AGATATGCAATTACTGACGAAAAATCAGCTACAGAAATATATAAAATAAGTCTGGGAAATAATAAGAAGAAAAAAGGAAAGAAGAGAAAAAAAAGAAAAGAAAGTCTGTGGTAGACTGCTATTAACTATTTTGAGACGATTTGATGGTTAAAGATTGAACCTTAGAAATTCTGAACCTGTTCTAAAATGTATAAATACTGACGCAGAGGCTTTTGGGAAAACAAAAGGCTATTACTAAAAAATTCGCAAATGGAATATTAAATCCTGTGAGACAGCTCAGCGGCTACATATGAAACAAAAACGAGTTAAAAAATAAAGAGTTTCTAATCATTTAAAACCACACGGCTCGTGACAGTATCTTTCTTGCCTTCAAAAATCAAGCTGCGTGAATTTACACAAATAACGACTTCTGTATAACAACGTAGATCTATATATCCAGATTTATATCATCGTATACTATTGAAGAACTACGTCTGGAAGTTTTTCGTATAGTTTCAGAAATTTCAGGTGAATCGGGAAAATATAATTCTGGATTCCATCCTATCCATGAATTTCATTTTACGACACGCTACACACAAACGTGATTCCGGTGCTTTACGTGCTTTGAGTGCCATTGGCCTCGGTTGCTAAGCAACCGCGACTTTTTGAACGACTTGCTTTCTTCACGTGTAATGCGCAAAAAACAATTTTGTAGTAGTTTCATGAACGTGGTTATTGCGGCACGTATGGCTTCAATCTTTCCACGCCGGCTTTTACGAGGGCCTGCATTGAACAAGTTTGAGAGAGATAGGTTGTTCTGCATGAGTGCAAACTGAATCCGATGCTTTAAAACGTACATTATTAAATTCCAAATCTCTGATTTTGCGGTAGGTTCTGATATTCCTCTTAAAAAATTCTGATACTCCTGAAGTGCGTCACACTGAATCAATGAATGACGACTCAGAAGAAAATTCTAAACTTATAAACGTTACTTGATAAAATCCGAAATTTGAGAACCTATGAGAAATTCAAACCACTGCAGGTTTATAAAATTTACAGTTTTTTTTAAATTAATATAAAAACATTAATATAAACTCCAGAAGTAATGTACAATTTAAAAATTAAATAGAAACTAAAACTTTTGGACCTTTCAGTAATTTCTGTATGATTTTATATCCTATTTGTTTTATCATAATACGCAAATCCACCTTTAAGTAATTTCTATATGATTTTATAGCCTACTCGTTGTGTTATAATACGCAAATCCAAAGAATAATTAAGGGAAAAATTTTGTTCCAGATGGAAATGAATGACACAAAATTTAAATTTCTGTTATATCAGTTTACTGGTGAATACATTGTGAAAATATGTTGTTATAGAACAGTTAAAAAGATGTTTTATTTTGTTGTTGTTGTTATTTTGTTTTAAGCAGATATTATTTGGTTATGTTTAAACTCATTTTAAAAAGTACTAATGAAGAAATTAATCGCATAATCGTTTCCCCATACAACAGAATGCAAATGAACAGATTCTCAATATTGCTTCCAGTGTAGTTTATTTTAAGTACCTGCCTAAAAACAGGAGATTCTAAGCCTTCTCTTCACAGCTCTGTTTACAATAATTATATCAGGTTCGCGTTGCTCTAGAAATATATACATCGTACAAAAATCTACCAAAAATTATTTGAAATATTAATAAGGAAAGCGAATGTTTATGTAGTCTGATAGATAAGTTGTCCATCTGAAAACTGCATTAGCTGGAAGAAAATGATAAATAACAATTTAATATTTTTTCCCTGGAAAAATTTAGGTGATTTGAAATCCTAGCCGTAAGTAAGCACAGTCCACCCAACAATAATTATGGCGAATCGAAGGGAATCATAAGAACTTTTATGAAAACTATCAATAATATATTACATGTCAGAAAGAAATTGTTATTTTTGTTTAAATATATTAGAATAGTTTTTAAATACATGTCCAGTAGTGGCGAGTGGGGTAAGACCGCTGATTCTTTCCGAGATTTTAGGCCCACCAGCGCCCGAGAGGTAAAGTCTCTAAACGATTCGGTTTCGATGTTCGAATCCCCCGAACGCGCCGTGTAAATATGCGGCTAGGTGAAAGTCCTCTTAAAAGGTTGCTGGTACGGAAAGAAGGATGGGAGGCTTTCGAACTTGTCGAACATACATTCATCCAACTGTTAATTAAGGAGATTTGGAAATGTTCTTTTTTAGTGGACTGATGAAATATTCTAAGACTACTTTATTGATCGATGAAGAGTGTACTATAGATGCAGGTATTCCTATTATTATCATGGGAAATTTCAGCGTAGACGTCAAACGAAATGAAAGGCATCCGATTTTATGGTACTTAATTTTAACCTCAATATCATGCCAAATAACTACCCAAGAACACTTGGCAATTCCTTTATACATTTAACATTTACTAGGAATATAACTGCAGAAATCTTGAATTATGTAGCTCGTTTCTCATATCATCGACCAGTTTTACATAAGCTCATTTTAAATGAATAAATGTAATAAATAAAATGTATGTGTGTGTAAAATCTTTTTTTTTAACCCAAAGGGCATTAGCCCAGAACGGCTATTAATTTCGTTTTGGCATTTCGCGTCAAAAACTTTACATGTGCGTTTCAATTTTCAAATTGTTGCCACCAAATATTATCGTCCTGTGATATATTTAAGGAAATTAAGTAATGAAGAATCTTCATAAATGTATGTATATTTCTCGCATTGTGATAAAACAACGGTACCTAGAGCCATCAAATTTTGAATAGCTTACATTTCCACCCGAATATGGGTATCTGGAAGCCCGAATTTGTTTGTAAAACTTGAACGAGTTTTTCATTAACAAACTAAACGATTTCAAAGCGAGCAATGGCAACACTGTACGAAAAAAAAAACATTTTTATCTCCAACGCGCGAGGCTGTGTATCGGAAGTTCTAAAAATTTGCCCATTTTTAAATTATTTTGCAATATTGTTTTTGAATTTAATTTTATGGGTCAAGTGCGAAGAACATAATATTTAATAAATAAAGGTAACACACAAAATGTTAAAAAACGCCCCTTTGGGCGTAATGTAAAATCTGAAAGCTTCCGGATTTTTTTTAATATTGTTTTTTATTTTATTATTACTTTGTTTTATAACATCCTCACACATCGTTTGTAATCCTACGCATTAAACACCAGTGGCTCTTTAAACTAAAAGATAGAGCCTACAGTCTTTTTTATTATTATTATTTTATTTTAAAATGCAGATCTTTTTACGACTAAGCAAAACAAGGCAATAACATAACATTAACGATGGAAAAAAACATGACGCTCTTGATGTCAAGATAGCATTTGTCAACCAACAATGCAGTCCAATTCAATGCATTTTACAGCTGCGTGCATTTTAATTGAAAAACAAAGCTTATTTAAAATGTTGATTGAAATTATATTTATTCGAATTTTATATTAAATTACAGAAATAATATTTTGCTAAGACTAGAACTATCACAGAAAGTTCTGGTGCAGTCGAGGTGCTGTCGTACGGCGTACGGTTTGTCAGAATCGTATCTCTAGCAACCCTGGGTGACTGTTCATTGGTTTATACATGCTTCGCTAGAGTTAGGGAGTGATCGACGTTTCAGTACCGCTAGAGGGCTAGGGATATGCCGCTATACGGCAATAAATATGTATTCCGCAGAACGAAACTGTGCCGCTAAACGAAAAAGTTCGAGAACCTAAGGTTTCAGATGGTCAGAAATCTGAAAAAATCGTGTAATCTATCTAGATGGAAACCCTTCTGCGATCATAGGTTAAACAGCTGAATAATTAATCAGATGTCTCTTAATTTTTGACTGAAGAATATGGGACAAAATTAAAAAATATATATAAAAAATAGTAACCAATAAATAGAGTGAAACAGCTAAATAATTAATCAGATGTATCTTAATTTTTGATTGAAGAACATGGGACGAACTTAGTAAAATAAATAAAAAGATAATAACCAATAAGTAAAGTAAAATCAGTTGAAACAGAACGGAGTAACAATATGAATGAAAAACTTTATAGCCTCTAAAGCTTCGTTCAGACGGTGGTTTTAAAGTCCTAACAGGTTTAAGCCGAGCTTTCGTTGCTAAGCAACCAAACTTCGCTACGTCACAAAAACTGGTTTAAGGATTTTGTCTTAAAAGTTCGAACATTTCAACTTTACGACAACTTGGTATAAGAATTATCAGTCACAGCGAAAGAAGCGATTGAACCAATCACGTTTAAGCAACTACATATTTACGCATGCGCAACTTTCCCTTCCCAGATTAGCTGTGGCTTAAACCTTAAACCCTACTAAACAGGTGCAATGACTTTTACGCCTTAAATTAGAAAGCTTTATAATGACAAAAACTGTCGTCTTACTAATCCTATACCTTTCGGGACGGCCAGAGAGACGTATGGAATGTCGTCAAAATGGCTGTGAATTTCAAATGAAATAGAAAGCAATTTCTCTATTTTACATCAACAACAATTAATGCAACTCCATGGACACATTGTTAGGAATGAAGAAATTTCTCCGACGTGCTCTTGCAACGGTTAGCATATCGAACCTGTTGTTCGAAGAGCCCAGTTTGGATTTTAAACAAGGACAATGTGATTTTTTAAGGCTTTTGGCTTTTAAAATCCTCTGTTCTCCAAAGTATCAGTTAATGAATTACGTCCCTTTCAAATGCAATAATCCAGCTGATCAGGTAATGAACGAAATCTAAAAATACTCGATGCAAAAGACTTAATTAAAAAATATATTTGCTCTGATATTTGACTTCTGTTTTTATGTACAAGTGAAGCTAATTAATTATGAAAACAACGCAAGTTTATTGCGTTAGTTTCTCTGTGTCCATATAAACAATTATGTAATTAGGATCTTAGACATAATTTCTAAATAAACATATTACCTTAAATTCAAGAGCATATATATGTACTTAAACTATGATTTCATGCTTTAGAATGAGGCGAAATTTCACTTACCATCTTTATTTTTTGCAACTACCGTTAATTTCTCAGGGTGTCCTCCAAGTATTACCTCATCTGTTACCCAGGATATGTCGATATTAGCCACAGAATCGGTAATCACATCCCAAAATACTTTAGTCCCTGTTTTGCCTGAAATTATATTACAGTAAATGAAGAATTGATTAAGAAAATGTGTCTGAAAATTGATTTGCATAGATATCATAAAATAATTTCAATAAATACTTAACTATTTCAATCAAAATCCAAATTAATTTTAAATCAAGAAAGGTATTAAAAATACTAGTACTTACTTATTTCAAAGAATATTAATATATGTCTAATAAGCACTGTGACATTTAGAAAAATCAAGAAGTAAGTAACAGAAGTATGTAAAAACAAGTAGTAAAAAATTATTTGGCAGCAGTTATTAAATAACATTTGACAAAATGAGTTCAGCTTTCTCTTCAAAATATTCTTGACCGTATCTCATATATCTGAACAGGTTTTCTTATTACTCTCCCTTTTTTTTTTTTTTTTTTTTTTTTTCCAAATTTGGGTTACCTACCGGTGGCCGAGCAGTAAAATAAAATCACTCAACACTGGTAGTTCGACTAGAGTTTAAATCATAGCACATGGGCTGGCTGTATGGGAGTTTTCGTAGTTTTTCCCGAGTGTAACGTGAATACCAGCTAGTGTTTCTTAAAAAGTTACTCCATAACAGCATTCTTTTCCTTAGGTAGATAGCAATCGCGGCGTGTTTTGCGGAACCCAAGTAGTACAATCTAAACTTTTATTTTCAGTTTATTAGCCTAATAGGTATTGGTTATACACTGGTTAAGATTAATTTTTTAAACAATATAATGCATTTTACTGTGCCACGGTATAATCTTCACCCAATATTCTGTGTGAAGTATATGGTAACTCTGATAGGGGGAAAAAAAAATATCTGAAAAAGATAAGCTATATCAAAGTAGTACTGCCCACCAGCGGCCGAGCGGTAAAATCGCTGAACACTGGTAGTTCGGTCCGAGGTTCGAATCCCGCGAACGGGCTGGCTGCATGGGTGTTTTCGTGGTTTTCCCCATGTGTAACGTGTATACGAGCCAGTTTCCCTTAGAAAGTCCTCCACGAAGGCATCCCTCCTCTTAGGCAGATAGCCCTCGAGGCTTTGCCATAATCACACACACACACAAAGTAGTACTATTTACTTAAGAGTAAATGCAAGTAGTTTTATTTACTTAAGAGTAAATGCAATCGAGCCTTATATTCAGAAATAAATTCTCCATTCATCTGCTAGTTTCGAAAGAACTATTACTATCTGATAGATCTAAAAATTTGTATTCCTAACTTGTATCCCCGAAGATGGAAAGAAAGGAATAAGAGAAATAAAACTGTTCTTAAAAAAAGAAAAAAGAAAAAAAAATCTTGCAGTGGCTGAGAAGTAGCAAATTTATTCCAAGAAAGAATACTCTCTATCTGAGGGTATAGGCCCTCTACCTGAGGGAATGGTTACCTTCGTAGAGATTTTCCAGAGTAAAACTGATTCATATTCATATTAAGTGCAGGGCAAACCTTAAGAGCCCCGCGTTGCTAGCCCGTTCGCTGAAAATAGAACTAGGACGAATTACGACTGTTCGTGATTTTATACACTCGATGACTGCGGGCTGAATGCAAGGAGACAATTGAGTTTACATCGGGAACATTAAATTAGATAATAGTAAACAGGGATTTTCATACATTTTCTACTGTCAACCTGCTGACGTGCTACACACAGAATTTTTCATGATATTGCCTTATGTCTGACTGATCGATATACAAAGCATTTTTAAGTTTTATCTTTTCTTTTACTCTGTTTAGATTTCACTATAGTCATTGTAAAGTATTCTGACAGCTATGATGTTAAAAAAAAGGAAACTTTAAGAATGTATATTTGTAATGAAAATGTAATGCAAATGACTGTAATGTATAATGTAAACGTCGAAAGTTTCATGACATTTTTCTCGAGGCTTCACAACACACTACTGCTTTAACCCTTTCCGGAAAACTACCTTTTAAAGTTGGAGTTTTGATAAATAGAAAAGAAAAAAGGTGGGCAGTCTAATTAGGCCTAGATTAGTACACAAGTAAAATTTTGTGAAGATAGCACTTATCGTTTTAATTCTGTGGGTGTGCCCAAAGTGGGCACACTGATTAAAATAGAGCTTCGAAAAGAGTGCTGAAACGAGCATTGTTGTCAATGAACTGACCGATGAGATGCGGAGAAACAAAGAATACAGACTCTCAGTTGTCCTAGATGTCTTGGTGAGCCCGGTCTGGGCAACACCTCGGGTTCGCCGTTTGATTTTAGGCAAGATTTCAAGGTAAAAATTTAAAAAAAACTATATAGAATAAGGAGATTAGCATACAGCCAAAAAAATAACATAGAACTTCCTTTTCAAACAATTCTTTTTATACCCTAAAAAATAATCTGGAAGATTTCTTTGAAAAATAAGGGTCTTAAAACTAAACATGGCTAAAATATAGGGACTGGTTTGTGTTGAGCTGCCATCTGCTATAAATAAAGAAGGTTCAGAGTAACCTATAAATCCTTTTTCATTCAATTTTTCTGTGCGTACAAAAGGAACGTTTTAGGTGTGTCCATACCGGACACACTGTGCCGCAAAGGGCTAATAAGGTTTGCTTCGGATACTGTAAAGATACTAGCGATCTGCAAAAGAAAAAAAAATGGTACAGAATACCAATCAGAGAAGTTTTAGTGCAGACAATAGCTGTATGCGAAGATCGGCGATATGACATTAGCAATGAACGGATTATTAACTGCAGTTCATGTGATTGGCGAACAACGAATAGTAAAGTATGTTAAAGAATTAATTACAGTTCGATTCTTCTTACTTAAAAAAATTACCCAAGAAAAGTAGCATAAGTCGAAATCTTTCTCGTATTAGAGATTGAAACCTAGTAATACAACTCAAAATCAACAACATTCTATTTCGATTGATTTCATTCAACAGAAAGTGTCAGATCCTTTTGAGAATATACGAAACAAACATCCAGAGAGTTAAGATAACAGCAGTTTTGAAGCAAATTACGGATAGCTTCAATAATAACAGGAAACTCGTGCAGATTCGCGCAAAATTAAATTATTAAGGAAACTACAAAAGACCTCGTAGCTTTTCTGCTCAATAATATCCGAAAACCCCTGACATTTTGTTGCAGCTTTCAATAACCAAACTTACCCTCCCCCAAAAAAAAGTCTACAACCTCTATATATCTACACCATCACAAATGTGTCTTTCAGGAAGTTCTTAATCACAAGTACTTTAAAAAGAAACGATGAGTTTTATATTAATTTGATTATATTAATTGCAAAATTAAATTATTAAGGAAACTACAGAAGACCTCATAGCTTTGCTGCTCAATAATTTCCAAAAACCCTTGACATTTTGTTGAAGCTTTCAATAACCAACGAAAAAAAAAAATGTCTACAGCCTCTATATATCTACATCACCACAAATGTGTCTTTCGGGAAGTTCTTATACTTTAACAACTTATCTTATACCATATGATTCGAATCTAATAATTTGGATAGTCTTTGAAAACTTCTTTCACAGTGAAAATTTATTGTCAAGGCAATATAGGCTCTCCAAGATTTTATTTATCGTAGGCAATGTTTCTGAATAGCCCTATCATATATCAATGACAGGAAGTCATAAATCAAAAAGGTATTTATACGTCAAATGCTCAGAAACCTGAAAATTTTACAAAGCGATTGCTGCATTCAACAAAGTATTTACGACACACCGTTTTAGTTATGACATAATATTTAGGAAAAAATTATAATTTTTTCCCTCTATAGTAAAGCATTTCTGAGGAACTAGTTGCAGACTTTACAGGAGGTTATTTGTATTTCTGGCAGTTTTGTATTCGTTCAACTAAACTTTTTTTTAACTCCTTTGGAAACAATTTTTTCCTCAAATACTCAGTAAAGTATCAAAAATTGTTAATTAAATAAAGATTACAGCGGCAAATGCTTCTCTGTATTCACTGTGAAGAATAAAGTATTATTTTTGCTGCTTTACTTTATTCATTCATATGTTCCGCAATTACTGGCTTTCACTTTGACAGGAATACAAACTCAGCCGATCTCTACACGGACATCAGAGGAGTGGCAGTCGATGTCGGTTCTATCAGAATTACTGTATGGAGCATTTCCAGATAGGATTGATCTTCTATAGCATGCAGTGTGCAGAGAATTCGGACTACGCTGTTGCGTAAGTGCGCGAAGATTTTTCCCAGTGTATGTTACAGAAAAAGAGAGGAAAAGTTCCATATTTCCACCTTTACATACCGTTTACCTTTCCATGTCTTCGCCCACAGCTCACATCAAGCATGCTTCAAACCTGTGGCATAAATAGGGTTATATGCACGATATTCGGCCGCATAGGAGTTCGAAGCCTTAAGGGGTCCTCGAATATCCCACTGAACTAAACTTTTATGCTTAAACTTGAAATTTAAAAAGAAACTAATTGTGATTTTCATTTCTATAGAAACACCTATATGATTCAGATTTATGGCCTTGTGAAACTACACCAAAACGAAACTGTACCACAAGAAAGCAAATTCGGATATAAAACAAAAGAAGCTGCATATATGTGCTTCCATTTTTTGAGAGACTAGTATTTTCAGGTCGCTACTGATGAGACTCATTAATGATAATCTCTGTTGACAAACTGGTTATCAGGCTTATTGTGAGAGCAAATTCATAATTTCTGGACTCGAACATTTGACGAGGTCTGTAGAAATGAAAGGACGGGACATCAGAAAAATTCATTAAATCTTCAGAAACGGTTTTTATATTATTGCTTCTTGTGAAATGTTTTCCTAAGCATGAAAAGGAGTAGGTTAGCTTGGTTCAAGGATAACTAATCCCCTTGAACATTATTAGTACTCACCTGATATTATTGCCAAGACTTAATTAGATATTTAACTTACTGTACAGCTCTCATGGCTTAATGCTGAATAAAATTTTAAAATAACTATAAAATTCCTCTTTTTTGTGTGCTTTTTTTATTTAAAACTCCTTTTTCTTATCTTCTCAGATTGTTACATAATCAGACTGTGTTTTAAATGCCAGAAAAAATACTTAGAAA